TATGTAGATATGTATTATGTTCATATGCGAAAAAATATATAGGAGCTACATGTGTACTGTAAGTCACATTAAATAAATGTAATCTCAAGCGTTGGCTTGTAAAATCAACACAATTAAATCGATAGTGATTTAAGCGCTTGTCAGTCTATCAATTTTCAACGTTGCCTCAGAGTACATAATGTACATACATATACATATGTACATATGGATCGTTGTCAACAACAGGTGGTCAAGCGGTAGGCCACATATTGGTGGCAACGTGTGTGAGAAACATTGCACTTTTTAAGATTTTTTTATAAGCTTCAAAATGCACTTCACATACCCTCGAACATATTCCATGATATGAATACATACATATGTACGCAGCTACATATGCATGTATGTTTTTCTCATGCACTTCTACAAATCCGCCCAATCGTTACGCAGACACCTTGCTGACAGTTGATCTGACGGTAAGGCAATTTTATTTGCAGTTCACAAATTCGTTCACAGTTTGGGTCAAAACAGCAATAATTTATTTGCTGATTTTACCATACATATTCATAAATATTGGTTTTTTTTTCATTAATCGTTTATGAATCAAGAAGTTTTTTCTTGTCGCACAGTGGGCCAGTATATTGCCTTGTTGCTCTGCGAGGTTTCAGTAAGGCCAGCTTCGCCTTAAATGTATGATTTACCTACGATCCTGGTAGAATATGTTCAGTTATCCACAAAATAATATGAATGCGATATTTTGACCATTTTTGGCTATTTGTCTTTTGTTTATTTAATGTTTATTTTTTATTTTTTTTTTATAAAAGTCTAGCTAGCAACAGACACCATATAAATTCAGATTTCAAACCTTGTATAAAAATTATAAAAATTCGCAAATTTCAAACTTTTTAATCAAAGTTTAATGATTTTTGGTGTGCTTTTCGATTTACCTATGACCCTGGTAAAATTAGTATATACAGTGACTCAAACAAATGACCACGTGTTTTTTTTGGAGATTCGTAGTTTGTTTCGAGTTAAATTTTTTTGTTAACTTTCTTTAAAAATACCGTCCAAGCATACATATAAATCACAGTTTCAAGCTTTATAAAACATTTAAGAAAAAATTATCATCAAAATTTCAACTTTTCAATCTGAATTTTTATAAAAGTTTTGGGTGTGCATTGCCCATGCGTACCCAAAGATGTTCTAAAGATTCAGAGTAAAAAGCTGAAAATTTGTTAAATTTTCCTAAATTTTGTATGAAGTTTGAAACTGTGATTTATGTGGTTTTGTTTAAAGCTTGGATGGTATTATTATAGAAAAAAAAATAGCTCGAAAAAAACTACGAATATTCAAAAAAAAATCAAAACGTGGTCATTTGTTTGAGTCACTGTATATACTAATTCTACCAGGGTCATAGGTAAATCGAAAAGCTCACCAAAAATCAGTAATCTTTGCTAAGGAAGTACCTCGATTCGAAGAAATTCAAAAAAAAAAAATCCGAGGCATATGAAAAAACACCTTATAGCGTTTGGTTTTCTCGAAACAATAGGCCGTATGAAGAAAACTAAGCAATTGCCTTTTCTTAAAATTCCAGACTTTTTCTCAGTTTATTCAAATAAATTTAATAAAAGGTCTGAAATTTTAAGATAAAGCAATTGCTTAGTTGTATTCATTGTGCCCTGCGCGAGAGCTGCAAAATTTTCGTGTTTTTCCTTTGCATCTTCGCCCTTTCTTTAAAATTTTACACTCTGATAATGTTGCCATATGAGAAGATGACATTTTTTTTTTTTAAGAAAAGAAAACGCCAAAAATGTAACAAAGATCCCGGAATATTAAAAAAAATTGATAAATACCTGGTAGCTAATAGCTTCGAAAATAATCCAAAAAGCCTAATTGGATCCCAAGGAAAAACCGAGGGGTCATCAATAAATACAAATAAAGTGTTAATAGATGTTGGCAATTTCGAAAAGTTCCTAAAAAGTTTCAAGATGCCAAAAATTCCTATAAATGTCAATAGGACCCAGAAAAACTAAAGAAAAACATTAAAAAATTCCTTAATATACCGAACTAAATTAAAAATTTTCCGAAAAAAAATCTAAAAATATAAAAAAACTAAGGATATCGAAAATTGCAAACAACATCACTTAGTAAATATCTTTAACAATTAATTCTGAATAATCCTAAAAAGTCAAAAGGATGGGGTTATATGGCCGTCCCCGGATCGGAAAACCAGTAACTAAATCGGTTACGCTGTGATAGATGAAATGTACGTTTCTAGTGTTCTAAACGTACTTGCGTTTAGACGATCAAATATCGACTCTTGTCGCAAACAAGATATGCACCCGCTTCTAAACAGAAAAAAAATGGGCGAAATGCTGAAAGCGATTGTCAGCAAACCGCACATTACGCATCGCCGTCGAAGAAATGCTTAGTTGATTCCCCAGCGAGATCGAATAAATAACTGGTACGACGAAAAAAAATGGCGCCTGCAGGGGCTGAAGAAGAAATCGGAACATATTTTCCGTAATAAAAGAGAAATGCGAAGAGCTTGAGATGTTGGCTGTCAAGAAAAACACTCATACATTTTATCAGAATGTTAAGCAACTTACGCATGGTTAAAGACCAGAACAAACACGGTGATCGAATGACACTGAAAGTACATAGTAAATAGAATAAGCCCGAGCACCAGTCGGTGGCGATGGAACCGATATCCCACCGCCCGACTATGACTAGGTTCGAGTACCAATGAAGAACCACAAAGCTGCTAAATGTAGCAGACTTTCAGCGAAGCTATAAATGTACGGCGGCGCATAGTTCATGAAGTTTTTCTATCCACTCTTATGCAGAATATGGTGTGCCGAACGCATGCCTGCCGACTGGATTTAAGTGAACGAGCTGATTGGGACCCATTGTTCAGCATACACCAAATCTTGGAATAGAGCCGCTAGAGGAGGTGCGACATACACCACGTCTTTGAAAGCCGTTTCGACAGAACGAAAGGGAGTGACCTATTTACCGCGATGTCTGAATCTGTTGTCCCCGCGAGTCTAATACAACCGATTTGACACCGTTGTTTTGCAAAACCACTAGTTCCGTCAGAATGGCTTCTGAGAGCCTTTACGCGTTGGCGATGGTGACTTCCACAGACGATTGAACGATGAGCCTTAAAAAGATATCGACACAATGCTGGCAATTAAAATACTGTTTCTCCGCTGGCTTGGGCATTTCTTTCGAATAAACACAAACGCTTCAGCCCTGAAAATGTTAAACTCGGAACCCACTTGTGGTAGTAGAGGAAGGGGATCTGAGTGTCAAATACATACCAGATGGGCAAGTACTTGGCTTCAGTTGGCACAGAAGAGAAGCGACTGGCTTGGTTTTGTTGGACTCGGCCTAAATTGTTCATTCGGTTACAGTACCCAAGAGAAAGAAGAATGCATCTGTATGCTCTAAAAAAAAAACAAAGTATATGCATAACAAAACAAATCATTTGCACAAAATCTCGATATTTTTCACTGTGCTTAAAACTGCCTAAGGTCCGGCTTCTCCTTCACACATCACACATGTACATACATACATACATACATACGTACTCATAAATTGTTTAATAAACAACTGTTCGGACAACAGACGTCATGCCACGCCTTTTCTACAACTTATGGTCCCATAGCACTAGCAATTGCAATTCTACTAATAGGCCCAATTGCTGACTTGTACAATTAATGATCACCACGTTGACCTAGTGAGCCTAGACTGTAGTAGCAGCACCGACGGTAATGTAAAATATGTACATATTTATGTATGTACTGGCCGAAAGCACCACACACAAGCTGCATACATAGTAAATTAACAACCGCCTCAACTACAACAGTAGCCATCAACAACAGCAGAAAGACATCAATCGAGGCAGTCAGCAACAACCAACCGAAATTCAGTGAAATAAAGCTAAACGAAAAAAGCAGCGTGCGAGGCCACTCGTTTGGGGCCTTTTATGGGTGGCTGCAAAACTGCGAAATAGTCAAACAAATGAACGAATATAAAATGCCTGGAATTGAGTGTTTTTGTACTGAATTCTTTATTTCAGTAAGTGCACAAGCTAATACACGAGACTGGTAAGCTGTGACTGCCGCTTAGCCTTTTTGACATACCTACGAACATACATACATGCATGCCTCTATAAATATGTAGCACACGCACACACGTGTACAATTGTGTGTTTGTATGCGCACAGGCAAAGCGGGGAAATCACTGCCATTTTGCTCTATTTACATATAAAATATATATTTAAAAAAAAATCAAATAAAAACAATTAAAATATTTAATAATGCTAAAGAGAAGTGATTAGATGTACAACAGTTGAGATGAATGAGAATGATTCTTAGTTAAATGGGTGAAAAGTATGCACCGATGGCCGGCGGCAATTCTATGCCAGCCGCAAATACTGGTTCACACAAGTAATGTCCACGTTTTGTTTTTATTTTTTATTTGTTTTGTTTTGGATTATTTATTTGGTCGACAGAAGCAGCCGTTAGTCGAACAAGCGCAGCCAGGCGCGCGCGCTCGTGCGCACACCTTGATGAGTAACGCGCCATGTCACGTCACGATGCGTGCGTATGTATATATGTACGCGGCGCGCGGCAATACAGCGAGGATGAGCACGGGAGACGCGCGCTTAAGAATGTGTTTTTCTTGCTTTTTTTGTGTTTAGTATTAAATAAAATTGATGCTAAGTAGTGTTACTTTACAAATGTTGACTGTTTTGATTGATATGTGTTGACTTTGTTGTTTTCCGCATGCAGACGAGCACTCTGCTAAGTTACTTTAAGTACGCATAAGTTAACAAGTAATTTGTTTAGTTAAATAATATTTATGTTCGTTTGTTCGGTTCAGAGTTCATTGGTCCATAAAACGGCAGCACGATCAACAGCACGAAATATTGCACTTGCGCTGTCTCGGCAAAAAATGCAAAGTAGTGGTCTTCGCAAACTTCTCCACCACGAGCGCCACACACACACACACACAACTTAAGGGTGGCCGTAGTGTAGAGCTGGTGCCGCGTATGCCACCTTGGCTATAGCAGGCGCGGCATAGGCGACCTTAGCAATAGCTGGCACGGCCGCCACAGCAACTGCTGGTTTGGCTACCACCACCGGTGCATGGCCGCCTTGCTTCTCGACCACAGCATTGAAACCGTTAATCTTGTCCGCTGTGTAGGTGACCTTACGTATGGAGCCATCGGGTTCGGCCAGCGAATAACTGCCGTGTACGACGCCATCGACCAGCGACTCTTCGGCCGATTTGGAATCGCCAGTGTGATGATCTGTCACGCCATACGAGAAGCTATACTGCGGATTCGGATCATATGGCTCCGGTTCGATTACTTTGGCGACAGCAACAGCCGGCGCTGCCTTGATGATGGCAGGTGCGGGCGCCAAGGCTATGGCGTGCGCGGGCGCAGGCGCGTGTATCACCTGGTGACTGATTGCTGGTGCGGCTGCAAGGATCTTGGGTGCGGCGTAAGAGATGGCTGGTGCAGCGTATGAAATGGGTGCGGAGATTGCGTACCCGCCGCCGTGGCCATAGGCGTCGATGGGCGAGGCAACGGCTAGCGACAGGCCGAAGCAGAGGACCAACGCCACCTGCAAAGGAAAGGCAAAGAATGCGTGAGTTAGTTTGTGCGCGAGGATCGCCGCTGGTTGTACGTTTTTTTGTTTTTTGTTCATCTTGCTGTGGCAGGTGCAACCGCTTATCTTATATTACCTTAGTGATCATTTTACAGCTCTGTGTGCTTGTTACGATGCGCGCTTAGAAAAATACGATTTTGGTTTGAGATAAATTCGCCAAGAAGCCTGCACTTTTATAATCGAATGTGAAGAATTCCTAAAGTCGCTGGCCTATGCAGTGATCGCAGATGGAGTTGCAGCAACGCCAGCTGCTGCTGCGTGTTTTTACGATCATCTGATGTTGGTGTGCGCGACGCGACATATACCATCATCAATGAGCGGCAGCAGCAACAACATAATATCACATCAACAACAAAAACAGTAATATGTAGCGCAAATAAGAGCGACGGACAGCTGTAAAAAGTGTAGCAGCATCAGCAAGCAACATGTTTTTTGGTTAGACTCTAGATTTCTTTCAATGTGATTGGCATCGCAGCCGTCGCAGCTAATTGGTTACCATTGCAGTACATTTCAACGCATGCGCTGTGCGTGCAATCCACACTTGCCGCTGCCCATTACAATCATCTAGTTTAAAGGCAAACAGCAGGCCACAAATTTATGGTCAGAATTTGGATTTCATCATAGAGATTTGTGTGCACTCACTGCGTTTCGTTTTCTCAATGAAGGCGCCAGCATTGCATTTGGTGCGCGTTCGTAGCGCGCTAAAGCAGGACGTTCAGCAGTCCATATGGAAGCGCGCACGCATGCGCGGAGGCAACAGGCAGCAGTTTGCCAAGCGCGTGAACATCTATCTATCTACTTGTTTCATAGTCGAATTGTACTTGCCGCATATTTGAAAAATCACACTAGTAAATCGATTGCAATGAGAATTTAACTGCCGCCTCGACAAACATGAAATGTTAGTAAAACGTTAATTTTTGTTTGCATTTTTTAATGGTTTTTATTTGACATAATAAAAATGGTTCATTTTTCATAATGCGCGCATTTGTTCGGCGCTTTTTTAGTACACACTTGAAGTGCGGCTGGCTTCGATCGCCAACATACCCAGTAAGTGGTTCAGTGTAAGCACAGACCACGCAGGAAATTGAATTTAGTTTGAGGCTTTTTCATTCTTGAAATTGGTGACCTGTTTGGGCGCCATACAAACCTTTGCGCTCTCGTGATTTTTACCTGAATTTCTCAAAAAGTGTATGGCTTGAAAGAAGTGAAATTTGTTGAATACTTCCCTGCGAGTGTACCGCTATAGCTAAAATGCGTCATCGTTTCTTCCAGACTTACGTATTCTATTCGGTTAGGTTTCAATCGGCGAGCATTACTAATATCAGGCGCTTTATGGAAAAATAGGAGAGAGTCAAGAAAAGGGCTTTCTCAATTGCATATGTATTTTGTTAAAAATTCCCTGCAAAAACTAAAAAAAAATGTAATTGAAAAAAGAAAAAAATTTGGGTATTCTCTGAGTCTTGCAAATTCCTTGCATGGTGCAGGGATTGCACGGTTTGCAAAGCTTTCCCATACGAAAACCAGTTTTACCGTGCAATCTGTGCACCGCGCAAAGGCTTTGCCAGACTCAGAGAATACCCCTATTATAAAATAAGTTTCTTAAAATTTAATGACATTAAAAAATTTTCCTTTTCAAAACAATAAAATCTAAAAATTTTCAGATATTTAAATTTAAAAAAGGCTCCTTACAGTTAATGATATAAGAAATACATATAATATTTTGAATAATTTCTCAAAAGTAAAAAATTAAATTTAATTAAAACAAAGAAAAAATATAAACGTTTGTAAAAATCTTGTGAAATTAAAAAAAAAATTTATTTTTCTCTTTAAAACAATAAAATCTTAAAATTAAAAGAAAATTAAATAAAAAAAAAATTTATTAATAAAGATGAAAAATATGTTTCTAAGCATTAAATATAAAAATATAATACATATATATAAAATAAAAATAAAAAATAAAATAAATGTAAAACAAAGGAAAAATTGAGATACACAAGTTTCTAAAATTTTTATGAAATTTAGATAAAATATTTTTTAACAATAAAATCTAAAGTTAAAAAAATTTAATTAAAAACGATATAAAATATATTCTTAAAAATTAAATAAAATTAAAAAAAAATAGTTCTCATTTTGAATTATGTAATATAAAATAGAAATTAAAAAAAGTTAAACATAGAAAAAAATCACATGTTTCTCAAAATTTAATGAAGTTTAAAAAATTGTTTTCTTTTTAAAACAATAAGAATTAAAATTAAAAAATAAATTATGTTAAAAATAATTAATTAAAAAAATAAAATAAAACACCCGCTGTCCTAGGACTCGAATCCCAGATCTCTGTAATGGCACGCCAGTGCTTTGCTCACTCGGTCATTGCGCAAAATGATAGCTTTCTGTCAAAAGAGCTTTTCACTATGAAAGTTGGCAACGGAGATTTTCTTTGCAAAACTTTCGTGCTAGAATAAACAACATCTTTCAAACTATCTTAGCCAGAATTGCCCTGTTAGTTAGTTAAATATGTATATAAAATCATTGGCAACATTTTTGCAATCATAGTATTTCCTACTAGGCATTTCGCTATACTAACTAGTTTATGTGGTTAGTTGTTTACTAGACTTGTTTTCCGCTGTTCGTATTGAACTTAAAAATACTTTGTTACCGTTAAGCAATTGCACATGTGCTGGTATGCACTATATCAATTGACAAGTAAGTAAGTACCTACGAATATTTATTTACTTGTATGTTTTTGAATTACTCTGCAGCCGTGTTAACCATGTGCGCACAAAACGTTCAAATGCGCGCTCTACCCGCAGTTGGTTGTCCC